GACTTTTTGACAGTTTCCCCTTTTGAACTTCCAGATTTTCGTTTGTTTATGACCACCTCAGGGCATCCTGCTGAGCTTAATTTATGCCTGTAGTTTCCCATTTTGAATTTCAGACTGTGAAACCATATGTACCATCCCTTTTCTGACCCTGGGTCTCGCAGACAGGGATGCCTTTCCACCAGTGTTTTGGCCACATTTTCATAGTGTTGCCTGTCAGGATAAGCAGTAATCTTTGACATACAGTCTGCAAGTGTGTCAAGGATATTAGTCTTCAAAGTTTTAGAAATCACCATCACAGATCCATCCTTAGCATATCTACAATTAGCTTCTTTCAGTTGCAGCTCCACATCATGGGAAAACTTTGGAATCGGGAAGGAGTCAGGCCATTTAACAAAATCTGCACTACTTGGAGAAGAGAGGCTTCCAGTGTCCAGTGTAGAATCCGTGGAGTCATCAGCTGTGAACAATACTTTCAAAGTTGCACGGTCAACAGGAAGGTCTTTGATGTCCGTTAGATTGCACAACTGATTATTGAAATCAGGATCCTCAAACTGCAAAATGAATCCTCCTCTTAAGGCAAGGTTGGTTCGTAACACCTGGTACAGTTCCTCAACACTTGAGGGGATGTCTTCAATTGAAAGACGCCTGATTTCACTTTCTGAAACTATGACACGCAGCAGCATTGTAGACAACTTAGACCTGAAAAATAGAAAAATTTGCACGTTAAGAATAAGAGCCTCTGGTACAGTGACAAGACACTACATTCATGAGAAGACCGAGACAAAATATTGGATTAATGATAACACAAGGTTTTACAATTTAAAGGAATCATCACTGACTAAATGGGGGCTGCACTTTGACAGTAAAAAAAAAATGTTTACTTTATCAATTAACTTAACTTGTTACTCAATATAACAATAAGCTTAAAATAAATCTATGAAAAAACAAAACAAAAAAGTATTTTAACATTAAAGATAATCAGTAACAGCGTTGTGGGGCAAGGCAAATCTTTGAAATTCAAAGATCAGCAAAAATTAAAGGGGGGGAACCATATATTTCAGCTGCCTGAAATAATCTGTTCCCCCTCCATAACAGGGGAAAAAATTTATTTACATTCAAGTCTTTAACTGTGCTTATTCCCCTCACCACCAAGAACAAATCCTGCGGATTATTTCAGGCAGCTGAAATAATCTGTTCCCCCCCCCTTTAATTTTTGCATATAACCAGTAAATATGACCAAATCCACAGGATTTGTTCTTGGTGGTGAGAGGAATAAGCACAGTTAAAGACTTGCAGGTAAAATAATTTCTTCCCCTGTTATGGAGGGGGAACAGATTATTTCAGGCAGCTGAAATATATGGTTCCCCCCCTTTAATTTTTGCAAATAACCAGTAAATATGACCAAATCCACAGGATTTGTTCTTGGTGGTGAGAGGAATAAGCACAGTTAAAGACTTGCAGGTAAATTAATTTCTTCCCCTGTTATGGAGGGGGAACAGAATATTTCAGTAAGCTGAAACATCCATTCTCTCCTCTCCTCCTCCCATATCTTTGGGAAATAAAGAGCAACTGTTTCCGATTTCTCTAAAATTGATATGTGTGATGTGGTATACTATAAATGTCCTTAATCCAGTAATCTGTCATATTTTACATTAGAAGGTGATTAACCAGAAATTCTTCTCTCATCTTCACAGGACGTCTTAATTTGTGTGCCCTGCTATCAGCCAGTTTCCATCCTCTTATATCAGCAATGAAAAATTAAAAATACACTACGTGTTGTTGTGTTCGGTGACTGACGTTTATTTCTGTCAGGCTGAAGGGACAAAAGTTGGAGAAATACCGATTCTCTTTGCGTTTAAAAAACAACACAAAACAGCGTAAGAGGACCTCATTAATGTAATAATTTTACAATTTTTTAAAAAGAGCAACCGATTAAAACGGATGATACAAAGTTGAGATGATTATATGAGCTGTTTTTACCGAAAAATAATCAGGAGCGCCTTGAGAATGGGCAGATCCGCCCCTCTGGCCGCAATGCGCGCTCCCGACAAAGCGGGAACAGATTTTCACGGGGAAACAGAATTTCGCACAAGACCGGCAACCAGAAACGGGACACAGGTGCCCGCCAACACATTAAACAAAGGACACGGGTTACTGACAAGAAACACGACTAAATACAGACGCACAGCCTTTCCCGAAGCCGCTAACTCACCTGCAGTCAGCACGTCAATGCAAAACTTTGACCAAGCGCCACATATGTGTTTCTGAGGAAGTGTACAATACCAAAATCGTGGTAGCTGCTTGCATTTCTCTTAAGAAAAGTTCATAGGCACAACCGAGTAGCATACTGCGTTTAGCTAGGCTCAACTGCATTAACTAACTCCTGCCCTCGACAATTAGCAAGCTGTTGTTTTATGTACTGTGTTTAAACATGTAACAGAGAACCTTTAGCTCTTAACATATTTTAAAAATGGGTGGCATTATCAAAAAAAAAGACAAATGAATCTTACCTTATTTCTACAGTATGACTCCAGCTCGCTTCGTATTTCCAAAAAATGTCCCGCAGAATTTGAACGCCTTTTGTACTGAGGTCTTTGAAAAATGGTATTCATCCACGACTTCGCTTTCGACGTCCTTAATGTGGTCAGGTGGTGTTCCTCTTCTTCATTTAATATGCAGTTCTAACTGGGATGGATAACTTTATAAAGTCTGACAAAATCTTACATCATATTTAGTCCCTTATCAGATAAAGAGCGAATTTCCGGCACTATTTGGATCTCGCATTAATATTGCCAGCGGTGATCAGTTTTTATAAGATCCGGTTACCTTTTTTCAAACTCAGATTGTCAAGTTATGTTCAGACATTTAAATTTATGTTTCACTGAACTGACTCACATCCTCGAGTTGAAATGCCAGTAACTCAGAAAATTAAGTTGAAATTACAAAACTCATTATGTTAATTGGAAGTAATTTATAGAAAAACGTTATGATAACTAATTGAGAGTATGACTTTTAACAGTGTACCAACAATGCATTTAACCACACTGTTCCACTTGAACCTTTGGCCCCATTATATGTAGTACAGGCAAATTTGATTGCGGAGGACAATTTTATATCTTCCCATTTGGAACGAGGCTGCGCACAATTCCCAGCTCAGCTCAATCCTTTTCTCATGTATCTGCTCAGGTCTCTCTGTTGATGAGTGCATTACCTTGGTAACACTGAAAAAAAATATATATTTGTAATTAAATATACTACCTTATCAGATTTCCCAGATCTGTCGTAGAAATGATTTTGAACAGCTGTGCTGCCACCGAACTAATCAGCTGATAATGGATCTGTGCAAAAGAAAAAGTGCATTCTGCAGCACTAATTAATCTCTGCAATATTGATGCACAGCATATATTTTGCATCGGTGCATTTTCCTTATTTTGTCTGTTTCTCTTTGGAAAATGGTGACTTCTTACCCTTGTTCAGCTAGGTTGCTGAAATCGGCAGCAAGATGTTGGTTTCTGCTTCTGATTTCTAAGATTCCAAATGTGGAGCTTAGCTAATGTCCATAGCCTACATGTTATGAATGCTGGCGTAACATAAATGATAAATTATGAACAGTTTAGTTTGTGCCTTCAAGTTGTTTGCCCATAGGAAGACGTTACTTGGATATAACCTAACGGAATATCTTTAGAACAGCTCCAAATGACACAAAACTCACATGGGTGAGTATAACATGAAGTAATAACGTAAAATCAAGGGCCCAATGTAAAAAAAAAAAAAAATCGGCGTTTCCCTTAAATGTTTTCATAAATCGTTTCTTTCCCAGTCCACAATGTAAGGAAAGGATTTTCTTTACTGAGCTTTTTGTTAACTATGTTGACCCATACAACTTTGATTCTTCATACACGTGTACATTGGTTCCTCTTCTTTTCATGGTAGATGAATGCTGAGCTGCAGATATAATCATGTTTCACTTTGGGCTCCTGCTCAAATACATTCATTAAAGCCACAAATTAAGCCTCGTCTAACAATTGCATTAGACACAAACTGCCCCTGATTATTTATGTAGGAAATCTTCTTACATAATACATTGCGTCATGTTCCCTTTGTTCTGAAAATCAGAACCTTGTGGCTGATTCATTCATCAGATTGAAGATAAAAGAGTTCCGTGGCTTTCAGTTCACCGCACCACAGCTGTGGAATAGTTTACCTCTACAGTTATGTTAAAGGTGTAGTGGAGGATTTAAGTGAAATATTGAAAAGACCCACCCACTCCACTTAAAAAAAAAAAAAAATGCACATGCACAACCCTGTACCCGCTCCCGAGAGGGAACGCCTTTCAAACGCGTGCAAGAGTATGCAGGAGCCCATTTCTCCTCATTTTACAAGCAGTGATGTGATATGGATTTCTCCTAAAAACTTTACCTGTCGAGTGGAAACTTTGCAACCAGGGCATCAGTGGGAAGCCTGACCTGTGCTTTTAGTGTACACCTTCGTTCGCGTGAAATAATCTCCCAAAAACACTCTAGTCTTGTTTCTTTCCTCCGAGGCCTTTCTCTTCTTCTCATACACTTCGTACAGTAGACACTTTTTCTTTTACGACCCTCTGCCATTTTCAAAGAATCCTGGTGAGAAAGGCAAGCTTCAATGATTGGTTGAAACTCAGAGATGGGAAGTAACGAAGTACAAATACTTCGTTACTGTACTCAAGTACATTTTTCTGATATTTTTACTTTACTTTACTACTTATTTTTATGGCGACTTTTTACTTCTACTCCTTACATTTTTACACAAATATCTGTACTTTCTACTCCTTACATTTTAAAAATTGGCTCGTTACTTTAGTTTTTAATCATTTCAATGGAGTTACCGTTATTTTTCACGTCATCAATCTACATTGCTTTTCACGCACCACTACAAGATGAATCCGCAGATTCGGCGGTATTCATTCGCGGCAAATCATTGCAGCTTGGTGGCGGTAGAGGTAGCGTTAGCGTTAGCATAGAAGTATGGACGACGAGAGGATGGAAAGTGAAAACAACGGAGATCCCAGAGATTCGGCAGAAAAGCAGCAAGACATTCCCGATCACCCTTGGCCTTATCTGAAAGAGATGTTTGACATAGTAGGCATCAAGAATGACTCCTGGCGAATGTGCTGCAAATTGTGCCAACCAAAACACCATGAACTGCTGGCTTTCAAGAATTCACCATCGAATTTGAAAAAGCATATAGAGGTAAATGCATATTTTTGTTGTTATCAAAAGCTATTTGTTGTTTGTTGTCTTTATTAAGTGTACGTTAATGGTCAGTTATATTTGTCCTCCTGCTAGCTTACAATTACCATGACTTGATTCTCTAGCATTTTGCTAGCAAGTAACTCAAGTGACGTTGGGTTAGCAAGCTTTCACTTTATTTGAAATTCTAATACTAGCTGGCTGATACAATATCTGTATGTCGACCTGCTCAAAATGGACGCTAACATTTTTTACACAACTATGAATGCCGAGACAAGAACGTTGAGACATAAAGAAGAAGCCCCGTTTAAACACAATAAAACAAGCCTCATCACTTTTACAAACCACCCTGTTTGTTTGTGGCTAGCTGTAGCAAGAGGCGAGGAAAAGAAGGAAAGCTTACTTGTTTTTCGATTATGGCTGTTATTCTCCTGTCGTGTAGCTGTCTTTTTTTGGAGACCACTTAAGTTAATGTTACTCGGTCTTGTCTTAAATCGACTTTATTTTTGGCTGATGTTTTTTGACGTTAATGTCTCAAACATCCCAGACATTAAATTACTCATGTTTTTAATTCAAGACTTTACTTTTCTATGGGGCCAAAATTGTTGCTTTATTATTTACAAATGTGTGTGGAGAGTTGTATATCTGTATCTCGATTTGTGTGTGTGCAGGGGGATTTGAAAATGTGTAAATGAAACTGTAAATGTGTGAGGAGATTTGTGTGTCTGTACAACAATCTGCAAATGTGCAAAACTGTCTACTTGTGTGTGTGTAATCTGGTTTGCAAATGTGTAAAAAATCCACAAATCTGTATTAAGATCTACAAATATGTACTGAGATTTGTAAATGTGTAAAAAATCCACAAATCTGTATTACAGATACAAATCCTTTTACACATTTGTGCATCTCACACGGCAGAAGTGTAGCAAAAATCACGTGTGTAAAGAGAGCCAACCGAGAAACTGCTGGACTTGTAACCAATGATGTGTCTGTATTTCTGGGTGTTGAAGCGAAAATACTTCGGACACAGTGTCTCTGTGTGTGCTTACAGATTGTTCTACACATTTGCAAATCTTAGTACAGATTTGTAAATCTGAATACAGATTTGTAAATCTCAGTACATATTTGTAGATCTGAATACAGATTTGTGGATTTTTTACACATTTACAAATCTCAGTACATATTTGTAGATCTTAATACAGATTTGTGGATTTTTTTTACACATTTGCAAACCAGATTACACACACACAAGTAGTTTTGCACCTTTGCAGATTGTTGTACAGACACACAAATCTCCTCACACATTTACAGTTTCATTTACACATTTTCAAATCCCCCTGCACATGCACAAGTCGAGATACAGATATACAACTCTCCACACACATTTATAAATAATAAAGCAACAATTTTGGCCCCATACATTTCTTTCAAACTGTGTGTGAGCTGGTTAAGGGATGTGGGAAACACAAGTTAAGACAGTTAAGAAATGTTACATTTGTATTCTATGACCTCTGCTTGCACTCCCCAGATCAGTCAGCCAGTCACTAGAATCAAGGATGACATCAGTCCAAAGTTAGACTTTACTAGTCATAAATAATTTGCAGGTTCACACAAAAGAAAAAAGCAGTAATAGCTGTCATACAGTTGCTATACCAGTGCTTTACCCATTCAGAGGTAGAGGCTACATTTACAGTGTATTGACATGTTAAGAAATAATTATGGGCTATGTATACTGTGATATTTTGTTAGTTTTAATCATGCCAAGATATTGGTTTTAAGCCATGGTGCCTAATGTTTCAAATTTCATAGTAAGTTACATCAGACAGTCTTGGCTATATCACTGAACAATTTGTTTTGTGTGTTTGTATTTTCACTCACAGAGAATGCATGTCAATCATATGGAGAGATACAGAAAGCTCACTTCAGCTGTTCAGAAAAGAAAGTCAACCATGAATGCAGGCCCATCACCCAAACAACCAAAGTTATGGGAAGCCAAGAGAGTGTCACAGGTCAGTGTGGAAAAGGGAATCATTGACTTCGTCATTCAAGGGCTACACCCACTAAGTGTAGTTGAGCAGCAGGGATTCAGAGACCTTCTGCTTCTCCTCCAGCCCAATCTAACAATTATGTCTCGTGGCACTCTTAAAAACAAAGTGGAGAAAGCAACACAAGAAATGAAAAATAATCTGAAATTGGCTTTGAAGAAAGTTGAGGTTATTGCAACCACCACAGATTGCTGGACCACACACCGACGGGGTTTTATAGGTGTCACTGCGCATTGGATAGATAGTGCAACTCTGCAGAGGCGCTGTGCTGCCCTAGCCTGCAAGCAGCTAAAAGGGTCGCATACTTTTTCCGTCCTTGCTAGTGCTCTCAACGATATACATGTGGAGTACAACATCCGAGACAAGATCGTTTGCACAACAACTGACAATGGTTCAAATTTCATAAAGGCCTTTAGAGTCTATGGTGAGCTGGATGAAAATAACAATCCAGATACTGCACTTCAAGGTGCAAGGGAAAGTATGGGAGGAGAGAGTGATGAAGAAGAGGGGGGAGATATCACAGGTGTCAAGTTTGTTGAAGCCGGGACAATATTGGATGAAGATAATGGCTTGGAATACCAGCTGCCAAAGCACCAACGTTGTGCATGCCACCTTCTCAACCTGATCTCCACTGCTGATGCCTTGAAAGCAAATGAAAATCCAGTGTACAAGCGTCTGTCTCGTTCAGCATTCTCCAAATGTTCAAGTCTGTGGAGCAAAAGCTCAAGATCCACCACAGCTGCTGAAATCATAGAAGATAACTGCAAACTTCAGCTCCTGAGGCCAAATGAGACACGGTGGAACTCCCTTTTCTTTGCCGTGGAGAGGATTGTGAGAATCATAAAGGAACAAGGAGAAGGAGCAATCACAGCTGTCTGCAGCGCGCTAAAGATACCTATGTATGTACTTGCCATTTTATTTATAGATTTATTGACTGCAATATGAGGTAGCTTCATATTTAGTTAATGTCTTGCAGTTAAGGATGGGTTTAAAATTTCCTAATGAATACTTTGATTCCCACTATGAATGAAATTCTATATTAATAATTAATTGTTTTTGTTTTTATTGTCAGGCTCACTCCTGTTGAGCTTGCTTTTTTGGCAGAGTATACCAAGACTATGAGCCCAATTGCAAAGGCGCTTGATGTTCTCCAGGGAGAGGCCAATGTACAGATGGGATGGTTGGTACCTACAATAACACTACTCCAGGAGAAGCTCCAGCACCTCTGCATTTCCTCCAAGTCCTGTCGGCCTTTGATTGAAGCACTTCTAGCAGGCCTTAAAAAACGTTTTGGACAGATGCTTACAGATCCAGAGCTAATTGCCGCTGCCATTCTTGTCCCCAAATTCAAGACCTGCTGGACAAGTGATGAATGTATCCTAAAACTGGGTATGTCTTGCAATGCTTACTTTACACTTATAATAGTTCAAAGTCCAGCATTTGAAGTATCCCTAACTTAGTGCAAACAAAATGACAATATTTATGTAATCATTATACTTTTTGTTCAAAATAATGTTATAAACCGTCTTAGAGTGTTGACATCCAATCTGATTTTGTGTTTCATAGGCCTTGACTACATCAAAAGTCACCTGAAGGAACAAGTTGTGGTGAATGAAGGTGATACGTCCCATTCCTCGGAGGAGGAGGACTTTTTTTCAGCACTCAAGCACTCTAGTTCCCAAGAAAATACCAAACAGCTGGAAATGTACCTGGGGTGCCCAGGTGATACAATGGATGTACTGAAGTCTTTCCCAGCAGTATGCCACCTGTCATTGAGGCTTAACACGGCACTACCTGCCTCTGCTGCCTGCGAGAGACTGTTCAGCACTGCAGGCCTGATTTTTACACCAAAAAGGGCCCGTGTTGATGCCATGAACTTTGAAAACCAGCTTCTTTTGAAGCTAAACAGAGATTTCTGGTAGTTTGGGATTCTTTCTCTGTATCATGAAAACACACATTTACACTGATACCCACACACTAACACAGATGCTAAAAAAAGATTCTGTTTGTTATGTTGCCTTAGAAGTTTTTCCACATGTTTTGGGACTTGGATGTTCACCCAACATCAAGCACACACAGACCTTGAGCTATACTGTACATTTGATCACTTGCAGTCTCTCGCTCAGATTTTTCTTTAACTTTGAGCTCCTGCTCTCAATGAAAAGCCTTTTTTGTTCCAGACTTTTCAACAATGTAATATAGTTTTTGTTTAGTTTGATTAAGGTGGTTGGCCAGCTTCTTTGGCTATTGTCTATTTTTCATATTAATAAAAAAAAAGTAATACAATACACATTGAATTTGTAATTTCTACAACTTTTATAGCACTTAAATTGTAAAAATGGACATTACCCTTTATTAGCACTCTATGTTCAAAGCTTTACTAGCTGTCAGTTCATTTCATATACGCTGCTGCCATCTGTTAGTTGCAACTCTAAAAGTATGGGGAACTTCGTTAATAACTGTTAAGTTAGTCATATATTATCCTATTTGTTCTTGTTTTGTTGCCATGTTTGAGCATGCACACATACATGCAGATTCCAAATGTTAATGACAAGATTAAAAAAGAGAAACTGGGTCTGTGAATTCTCACAAAATCACAATTGAATTTATATCTTGCTAATGAGTCAGAATCTTATTAACCTGGAGTCCCAGTCTCTGTCAGTCATATATATATATATATATATATATATATATATATATATATATATATATATATATATATATATATATATAAAAATATGTTTTAGTCCTATTGGCAGACATCCATTTAAAATGTAGGCAACGGCATGAAAAAAGTGGTTTCTACTTTTACTTTTATACTTTAAGTAAATTTATAAGCCTGTACTTTGTTACTTTTACTTGAGTAAAGAAGTTTAATCAGTACTTCCACTTTTACCAGAGTATTTTTTAACACAAGTATCTGTACTTTTACTCAAGTACGGAAAGTGAGTACTTTTGCCATCTCTGTTGAAACTGTAGCTCACCACACATTTACACCTGAAAGTGCGCATTTGCAGAAAAAGATAGGTATTGGGGCAGCGGTCTCAACAGAGACGCTCAGGATTCCTCCTTTCCCGATATCATTTCCTGCTCTTTTGGGGCGAAGAATGAGACATATCAGGTCCATCCAAGAGACAGTCTCTCAGCATACCCTGAACTGTCCCCTGGAGTTTTTTTCAGTGGGAAGAGCCTGAACAGTTCCAGAGAGAGGCGTCCAGAAGGCACCAGGAACAAATCTCTGAGCCACCCCAACTGACTCCCCTTCGATGTTTAAGTGAAGAGGCTATACGCCAAGCCTCACCCTGGCAGACAAGATCCTAGTTCATTGCCTGGCCACCCTGCGGTGGAAGCTCAATTTCCCCTGGGACCAAAAATTTGGTTAAGGATTTTAATTTGTTGTCAGTCAGTCTGTTAGCAGGTTTACTTAAAAAAGTTATGAATGTATTTTAATGAAACTTTGCCTTATGCCAAGAAACAATCCATGAATTTTTTGTGATGATCCAGATATTAATAGGATATGAATTATATAAAATAATTCTTTAATGTTATTTTGCTGAACAAGCAATTGCCCCTTAACCAGCGGGTGGCAGCAGTGACTATTTACAGCTTCAACATAGGTCTAAACAATTCCCAAGGCATTACACTGAAGACAAAAGTACAAGAACACACAAAAAAAAGCTCAGTCCAGAGCGAATTAGCAAGGTGACACAAGAGGCTGTAGACACAAACAATGCGAGGGATTTTTTTACTACTTCATGCCAAGGATGAATTCATTGAAATTTGGTTCTTAACCAGATGTTGTGCGAGTTTAACCTATAGGTGTAAGCCACAATATAGGGCAAAATTTTCTGCTTGGCTTTTCTTGTTAGTATTTAATTTTAATTGTCTTTATATTGATCTTTTGTACAGAGTTATGTGATGTATTTTGCCTGTGAAAGGTGTTTAATAAATATGATTTACTTTCTAACTGTACAACAAGCACTAGTGCTTCGGATGGACATGCCTTTATGTGATTTTGTGAAAGTGCAGAAAGGGAACTCCCAAAATACAAAAATACAACTAGACCAGTATTTTTACTCTGAAAAAAAGACCATTCTATTGCATTGTCTACTAAATCCTATTAACTATAGTGCAAGTTGTATCCTAACTTAGCATCCCCACTGCCAGAAAAAAGTCGTGCAGCACACCATGTTATCATTGTAATAGGACACAAAGTAACAAATAAGAATAAATTATTCCTATAAGTTCCAAATGTCATTATGTATTACTTATTAGGTATTACCTTTATTTTCAAGATGCTGCAGTCCTTCTCAATATGCTTCGAGGACTTTCTTCAAATAGAGTGCCCTAATTACCTTAACCCTGTTTGCGTGTTTTTTGACTGCAATCGGTAAGCCTGTTATGTTCAACCATGTTCAAGACCAAATTCTAATTGCCTTATATTAAAGTGTTAAAGTAGTATTAAATGTTTTTGAAAGTTCACAGTTTGGTTCAGTTCAGTTTTGGGGTGTTTCAAATAACTCTATAATGCAAAACAAGTTGTCTAACTAAAGCCAACTGTCTGCTATTGTTTTTCTCCATTGAGTGCTTGTATGTGTCTGAACAAGTGTAAGGATGGAATCGTGTGAATATGACTCTATGAATGTGATTATCCTATTGTCTACTTGTCAGGTTGAGTGTGTTGAAGATTAATTTCTTTTTTTTGTATTTTTCTTTTAAATAACTGTTACATCTTTTCATTTCTATATCTGTTCAGTCTTATAAGATTACCTTATATGTTAATGCTGTAGGCTGTGTGAGAACTTCTGGATGCTGATTGGGGGCTTTTGGGTGAGACATTTTCTGTCTGACTTTTGAATAAAATGAGAGAGCTAGCAGAGGCTCTCCGCCTTTTCAGTGGGTTCTCCTTGGAATGGTTGAGATGTAAGGGCCTAATAGAAGATGAGATTGTCCTCTAAACATTGGTTCTTTTATCAATAATTTTGTTAAATATGACTGGAATAAATTCTGTTAATATTTTAAACATGTTTCTCCTTTGTGTACACTATCTGAAAAACAGTACCTCAAGGGATCTGGACTGAGTTACAAAAGGGTCTTACAACAAGTGTTTGGGCCCCCCTTCTTCCTACTGGAATATCCTAAGCCCCAAGTCTGAGGAGCTCCTGTCTCCTCTCCCTTCTAATGCTCCCTGCCAGTGCCGGGTATTTTGGTGAGCACTATTTCAGCCCTGATGTCTGCTGGGCCTTGGCCTCCTGGTCCTGTGGGTTCCCTGCTGGGGGATATTATGCTCTCAGGCCTCAGACCCCTTGGTTCTCATCCAGGTCCACCTCAAGTCTGAATGGCAAATGCCATGGCCCAGTGGGACCTCAGTACTATGGGTTCTGGGGTTGGGCCCTCAGGGACTGGGCCCCTTTTAGGTTTGGCCCCTCTGGGGTAGAGCCCCATCTGCCCATCTCTGGTGGGTTCGGCTGTCCCTATGTCTGCCCTTCTAGTGTCCTGGTGATCTGGGGGGCCTTTACATATCTGAGGCTGTGTTGGCTTCTTTACTGAACCTGGGGGGATTCACAACTGCTATTGAGCAACTTTTCCTTCAAAAGAAGCCTTATTAACCCTTCATACAGGTGCAAGCTCTTACATACACAAGGCACACTGCATGAAAGCACAGTTATCATTGTCTGCCCTCCTTGTTTCCCAGTGATCTGGCCTGCCTCTGAATTTCTGGGGCTCGCATCGCCTCTTTTTCTGCCCAGGGCCCAGTAGGGCAAGTCAGGGTCCAACCACACCTGGTATTAAGCATATTTTCCTTCTGAAAAACTGTAAATCCTTTATACCCAAACATGCCCTAGCATACATACCACAGGAGTTTGGTTCCTTGTGTTCACAGATACTTACTAATACTTTGTATTAAGCTGCAGCTACAAATAAAGGTCCTTCTCAAAATATTAATATAATGTGATAAAGTTCACAGCTCATGAAAACCCAAAGTTCATATCTCACAAAATTAGCATATAGTGAAAAAGGTCTCTAAACGAGCTATGCACCTAATCATCTAAATCAACAAATTAACTCTCAACACCTGCAAAAGATTCCTGAGGTCTTTAAAACTCCCAGCCTGGTTCATCACTCAAAACCCCAATCATGGGTAAGACTGCAGACCTGACTCCTGTCCAGAAGGCCATCATTAACACCCTCAAGCAAGAGGGTATGACACAGAAAGATATTTCTAGCGAATAGGCTGTTCCCAGAGTGCTGTATCAAAGCACCTCAGTAGGAACTCTGTGGGAAAGAAAAAGTGTGGCAGAAAACACTGCACAACGAGAAGAGGTGATCGTACCCTTAGGAAGATTATGGAGAAGGGCCGATTCCAGAAGTTGGGGGACCTGCGGAAGCAGTGGACAGTGTCTGGTGTAGAAACATGCAGAGCACCGTACACAGTCGTCTGCAGGAAATGGGCTAAAGGTACCGCATTCCCCAGGTCAAGCCACTTTTAAACCAGAAACAGCGGCAGAGACGCCTGACCTTGGCTACAGAAAAGCAGCACTGGACTGTTGCTCAGTTTTGATTGTCATATGGAAATCAAGGGGCCAGAGTTTGGAGGAAGACTGTGGAGAAGGAAATGCCAAAATGCTAGAAGTTCAGTGTCAAGTACCAACAGTCAGTGATGGTCTGGGTGCCATGTCAGCTGCTGGTGTTGGTCCACTGTGTTTTATCAAGGGCAGGGTCAATGCAGCTAGCTATCAGGAGATTTTGGAGCACTTCATGCTTCCATCTGCTAAAAAGCTTTATGCAGATGAGGATTTAATTTTTCAGCACGACTTGGCACCTGCTCACAGTGCCAAAACCACTGGTAAATGGTTTACTGACCATGGTTTCACTGTGCTCAATTGGCCTGCCAACTCTCCTGACTTGAACCCCATAGAGAATCTGTGAGATATTGTGAAGAGAAAGTTGAGAGATGCAAGACCCAACACTCTGGATGAGCTAAAGGCCCCTATCGAAGCATCCTAGGCCTCCATAACACCTCACCAGTGCCACAGGCTGATTGCCTCCATGATTCCCGACCAATTACTGAATGCCAAACTGTGCATGGTTATTTGAAGGTTGACTTTTTTTGTATTAAGAACACTAC